GTGTGCATTAATAGATAACAGATGGAAAGATGAAAAAGTTGCAAGAGTTAGTAATATAAACTCTGAATAGATATAAGAAAATTACCTACTGGGATTAATTAATATGACAAGCACCTTAATTACAATTAAATATTAATCCATTTTGTAAAATATAAATGTGAGGGCTTAAATGCTACCATATTGACAAAATCAGTTTTTATTCACACATGACCTTATTGTAATCAGATCTATTTCTTTCAACTTATTTTGTGTCAATTAGTCTCTGCTACCAGGCGATGACATTTTGCGTGCAGTCAAATGAAGCACTTAAATGCCTCATTAGTTATCTTGAGGCTTATTCTTGCATATGATTCTTCCTATGCTTAAGCCTATTTTAAGAAACCTCTATAACATCATTTGACAGCTAAACAGCCGCTTGTGTGAGAAAATAAAAACGGTCACTTTAGGCTGAGCGCGGTGGCTCACGCCTGTAATCCCAGCACTTTGGGAGGCCGAGGTGGGCGGATCATGAGGTCAGGAGTTCGAGACCATCCTGGCTAACACGATGAAACTCCGTCTCTACCAAAAAAATACAAAAAATTAGCTGGGCGTGGCAGTGGGCGCCTGTACTCCCAGCTACTCGGGAGGCTGAGGCAGGAGAATGGCGTAAACCCGGGAGGCGGAGCTTGCAGTGAGCCGAGATCGTGCCACTGCACTCCAGCCTGGGCGACAGAGAAAGACTCCATCTCAAAAAAAAAAAGGTCAGTTTACATATACACATATACTGATTCCGATGAAGACTAAGCTTTTAAGAGACATTCTTACAAAGCTGCACTACTAAGTGTGACTTTCTGTATTATTTTTAAATTACTATACAATTTGTAAATATAACCCTTAAAACAGAGGTATGGATGATACTCGAATATCATTCATTCAAGATAAGTGGTTCATCAACTACTTAGTCTGTGACCTCACTGATACTCAGCTAAGTAGGAGCAAAATAGTTTAGTTTCACTTTAATTCTAATTCAGACTGTTGATTTAAAATGCCTGGTTTCAGATACTCAAACCACTTGTCAAACAGAACACCCATTAATATAGATTTAAAAATACCCTGTGACTGCATCTATAGTTATTCTGAGAATTAGGGGGAAAAATATTATCACCTTGTCACTGCATTTATTACAAATCTTCACTGAGATATCTATTCTCAGTCAACTAGAAAATGCTAGAGCCGGCAAAACTGTCTTTGCGAAGAGCTGCAAGATGTGCTTGATTTTATAGAAAGATCTTGAAGTGAATTCTCTTTTGCTGCAGTTCTCCCATGACTGGTCTCCCATAAATTCTATGAATTGTGACTGGCTGTGAAGTTAGTTAATACTTAACTCTCATGAGTCACAAGTATTAAATACATATAATTAGATTGGTTCCTAGATGGGCCACTCATCACCGGTCTCCCACTGGGCCTTTTAAAAGGGTGAACTAGGCAAGAAACAAGTATCAGTGAGTCAATCTCTTAATTTTGGAAAGAGTACTAATATATTTGAACAAACCTAGTAATGTTTCCTAACTTTTCACCATCAAGGGTTGATGGATTTCTTTTTCTTCACAGTTGGGTTGTTTTTTAATAGCAAAATTCTCTTCATGTTAAAATTTTAAAGTGGCACAACATATTGTCTTATTAAAAGAAATCTAGTTTCAACTAGATTTTCAACTAGAGTATCAGCTACACTGAGGGAAGTAAAATTGATATCCTAAATAAAGTTCTCCCTCCCTCATTGATTCTGTAAAATTTCCAGTCTCCCATGTGTATTTCTTTAAGATTAACCATTTTAGGAGTTAGAAAACAGAAATAACTTAACAATGATTAATATGACATATATTCATTTGCATATACTTTGCATAGTTTCTTGCAAAAGAAACAAACTAGATCATGTAAGTAGTACCAGCTTCATGTTAAATGTTTACTTAATTAGTACTTTTGTTGGGCATTGATTGAACTGGGTAGGACTGTTAATCTTCATCTATCATTGTCAGGTATAATGTCAACCAATTCACCCTGTTGACAATGCTCTTTAAAATTCGAACAAGTCCTCCCTCCACATCCTTAATACTCAAGCATAAAGAAAAATGAAGCCATGTTTTCTTATGAAACTTCCCTGGCTTTGATATTTATTTATCTGTAAGCATGAGAACTGAATGCTGGGCTGTATAATTTTTTTTTTTTTTTTTCTTATTTTTTGAGATGGAGTCTTGCTCAGTCGACCCAGGCTGGGGTGCAGTGGCGCGATCTTGGCTCACCGCAAGCTCTGCCTCCCAGGTTCACGTCATTCTCCTGCCTCAGCCTCCCGAGTAGCTGGGACTACAGGCGCCCGCCAACACGCCCGGCTAGTTTTTTTGTATTTTTAGTAGAGACGGGATTTCACCTTGTTAGCCAGGATGGTCTCGATCTCCTGACCTCGTGATCCGCCCGTCTCAGCTGGGATTACAGGCGTGAGCCACCACGCCCGGCCTGCGCTGTATAATTTTTTAACAGAAGTGGTGGCTCTTATTGCCTAAGGCACTGAAATGTGAGTTTAAAATGGAGATGCTGGCTGGGCATGGTGGTACACACCTGTAATCCCAGCACTCTGGGAGGCCGAGGTGGGAGGATCACTTCAGCCCAGGAGTTCGAGACCAGCCTGGGCAATATAGTGAGACTTCATCTCTACAAATATTTAAAAATTAGCCAGATTTGGTGGTCCATGTGTGTAGTCCCAGCTACTTGGGAGGCTGAGATGGAAAGATTACTTGAGCCCAGGAGGCAGAGATTGCAGTGAGCTGAGATCATCCTGCACTCCAGCCTGGGTGACCAAAGAGGGAGATTCTTTCTCCTCAAAAAATACAAAACAATAAAAAATAAAATAAAATAAAATAAAATGGAGATGCTGGTCTGTCTCAAGCTGCTTCACTGGAATCTATTCTCTTGCGTTTAGCCACCACTTGTTCGGTGTGGCTACTGCATTTAAGCCCTTTTTCAGCACAAGTGTGGGCTCCTGTGCACCACTGTTTCGGTCTCTTGTTTAATATTGTAAACACAGAGCAGACCATGATGTCTTCCCTACTTCAGAACTGCGCTGAGCTTATAGAAACCATTATATTCTGTGAAGATCCAGCCAGTGAAGTCTACCATCACTGAAATTACAAAACGATAATCAGACAAAACTTTCCCCAAAGGATAGTAAAATTGACTTTGGAGCACACACAACACAGTTAAACTATGTAGAAGCTTGTTCCAAAACAGTACTCACCAGTTGTATGGAAGCTTCCCATCCCTCTCCAAGGATGCAAAGTTCACAAATGTACCCGCTCCACACTCCCTGTTTTAAAGGAACCACAAAATCAAGGTAACTGCTTGACAAAGCATTCTTATGTTGACATAAAAGTAAAGAGAGTCTTTACTAGCTTATCACCACAGCATTACATTTAAAAAAAGAAGCTAGAGGCTGGGCGCAGTGGCTCACGCCTGTAATCCCAGCACTTTGGGAGGCCGAGTTGGGCGGATCACCTGAGGTCAGGAGTTTGAGACCAGCCTGGCCAACATGGCGAAACCCTGTCTCTACTAAAGACACAAAAACTAGCTGGGCGTGGTGGCGCGCGCCTGTAATCCCAGCTACTCGGGAGGCTGAGGCAAGAGAATTACTTGAACCTGGCAGACGGAGGTTGTGGTGAGCTGAGATCGCGCCACTGCACTCCTGCCTGGGGGACAGAGCAAGACTCTGTCTCAAAAACAAAAAACAAAATAAATAAATAAATAAAAAGAAGCTAATACAAGTTCTGTATGTTCCCCTTTGGCATACCATGCAAAACAGAAAGATAAAACGAAATGAAATAATCTTTTGCAAGGTTGCAAATCAAATTATTTGAGGCCAAAAGAATTCACTTCACAATCCTTTCCAAAGGGCATTCATTATTCTAAAATAAATATTTGAACTATTTGGTGTATAATATTTATTTACTTTTTACAAAGCCTTTAATAGTAATATAGAAACTCTCCTAGATGAACTGAGCGTTTTCCATCTTTAGCAAAAATTCTTCGTAGGGTTTTGTTTTATGGCATTTTGATTTCCTCTCTACAATGATAGTGGATCGAGTGGATTGTTTACTTTCTCCGAAATCTTTCTCTTATATTGCGATGCCCGTATTATTCATCACTGGAGATTAGAATAAAAGAGTGGAATGTACTGAAATAGGCAAGATTCTGGCGTGCCTATTATCTGAAATGTGGCCTATTAATCTGCTAGGAAAAACACTGTTGAAGTTTTTTTTTTTTTTTCCAGAAGTAGAGAAAAAGTAAACATATTCTCATGCCTTCTCTACCTTTTGGCTAATTTCATGCATGAATAACAGCTCACTGGGGCTCATGTATCTCATTTTTTCTTTATATGGAATTAATGGATTTAATATTCAGAACTGAAGCAGAGATTTTAACATTATTGGCACAATGTGCGAATTACTTGAATTATCTACCTGCTATTAGGGTGTTCCAAGAACAATTTTCTTCTTTTGAAGAATACACTAATATAATATCATTGTGTATTATAAATTACACCTCATTAATGAATTTTCCTATGTCGATTTCCTATATATGGGATTTATTTTACCTCTAACTCAAGGGTTTTAATCTGGGGTTCCAAAGATAGAATTTAGGGCTCTATGAACAAATGTGGGAAAAAGGTACATATTTATTTTCACAACCTGTGACTAAACTTAGCAGTCCCTTCGATCATTAAAGTAGGTACCAAACCCTCATAATATCCACATGTGTGATTTGCTAACAATAGAGATTACATATTTTTTAATAATAGACTTGCTGCAGATATCTTGAAATATTGGTTATGTTCATCATCATGATGAAATTGTTAGACTATTACATATTGACATTTAATGTACTAATTAAAAAGCATACAACACATTTGCTTTTTAAATATTATGATTATCATATTTCAATATAGTTGTATAATCCTATGTATTTTATTTTAGGCTCATAAAATGGAAGCAGTATTCTTAGGAGAGTTCGCCAGACTGCCAAAAAGGATCATGGCATGAAAAATGATGGCAATCTCTATTTTAATAACTAGCTGAAAGAATCAGAACCACCCCTCCTAAATATCTTTGGTAGGTACCACAAAAAATGCTCAAAAATACCACTACTTGCTTTACTACATCTATTATCACCTCCTCCATCATTACTATTATAAGCTAGCATTTACTGCACACTTCCTATGAGTTGAGTATTACGCTGTGTTATTACTGCATTAATGCTCCTAAGTATCCACTAATGGAGGAGTGATTATCATCTCTTCTGCATACACATTGTTCCCCTAGCTTCCAGGCCACCGCACTCCCTTAATCGTCCTTTTACTCCACTGGCCACCTCTAGTCAGTGTCTTTCTGTTGTCTTCTTTTCTCCCTGAAAACCTTAATATTGATTGTTCCAGTGATTAATGCAGGACCTTCTTTTACATTGACTCCCTGAATTTCATCCAGTCTAAAGCTCTAATGCAATTTACATGTTAATAACTCTCTCTTTTTTTTTTTTTTTCCTGAGATGGAGTTTCACTGAGTCACCCAGGCTGGAGTGCAGTAGTGTAATCTCGGCTCATTGCAACCTCCGGTTCCCGAGTCCAAGTGATTCTTCTGCTTCAGCCTCCTGAGTAACTGGGATTACAGGCACCTGCCACCAAGCCTGGCTAATTTTTTGTATTTTTAGTAGAGATGGGGTTTCACCATGTTGGCCAGCCTGGTCTCAAACTCCTGACCTCAAGTGATCTGCCTGCCTCCCAAAGTGCTGGGATTACAAGCGTGAGCCACCGTGCCGAGTCAACAACTCTTCAAATTTATATCTTCAACCAAAAATTCTCTTTCAAACATTAGACTTTTATGTTCAGGTGGCGACTCTGCACCTGCACTTGCAAGTTATCTCAAACTTAACATTTCTATGGTGGTTAATACTGAGTGTCAGCTTGATTGGATTGAAGGATACAAAGTATTGATCCTGGTTGTGTCCGTGAAGGTGTTGCCAAAGGAGATTAACATTTGAGTCAGTCAGTGGGATGGGAAAGGCAGACCCACCCTTAATTGGGTGGGCACAATCTAACCAGCTGCCAGTGAATATAAAGCAGGCAGAAAAACGTGAAAAGAAGAGACTGGCCTAGCCTCCTAGCCTACATCTTTCACCTGTGCTGGACACTTCCTGCCCTTGAACACTGGACTCCAAGTTCTTCAGTTTTGAGATTCGCATTGGCTCTCCTTTCTCCTCAAGCTTACAGATAGCCTATTGTGGGACCTTGTGATTGTGGAATTTAATATGTAATAAACTCCCATATACCTATATATAAAATATCTAATATATATATCCTATTATAATATATAATATATATCCTATATAATATATATATTATATATGTACATATATCCTATTAGTTTTGTTTCTCTAGAGATCTCTGACTAACACAATTTCCAAAACGGAAGTCTTGATGTTCCCCCAACTCTGACCTGGAATCCTCTTTCGGTTGGTGGCAGCTCCATCCTTTCAAGTGCTTAGGCCAAAGACCTGGAGTTAGCCTCAACTCTTTGTTTGTTTGTTTGTTTTTCGAGATGGAATTTCACTCTTGTTGCCCAGGCTGGAGTGCAATGGTGCAATCTTGGCTCACTGCAACCTCTGCCTCCTGGTTTCAAGCAATTCCCCTGTCTCAGCCTCCCGAGTAGCGGGGATTACAGGCATGCGCCACCATGCCCGGCTAATTTTGTATTTATAGTAGAGACAGGGTTTCTCCATGTTGGTCAGGCTGGTCTCGAACTCCCGACCACAGGCGATCCGCCTGGCTCGGCCTCCCAAAGTGCTGGCATTACAGCCTCAACTCCTTTTTTCATTTCCATTCCCTATCAACTTATTAGCAAATCCTGTTGCTCCTACTTTCAAAATACTTCCAGAATCTGATGGCTTCTCTCTGCCTTCAGTGTTGCTACTCTGGACTGAACTGTTACCATCTCTTGCCTGGATTCCTGGCTACCACGATTGATATGCCTATCTCTGTCCTTGCCTCAGTGCAGCCTGTTTTCTACATAAAAGTCAAAATGAAAGTGTTAAATCTAAGTCAGATGCTGTCAATCTTCTGCCCCAGAGCCTGCAATGCCTGCTCATTTTACTGAGTAAAAGCCAAAGTCCTTCCAACAGCATATGAAGCCCTGTATGATTTGACATCTCCTTCTACTTTTGTCGTCCTCTGCTTTAGTCACAACGGCCCCTCTGCTACACTTCGAACATCCTAGTCATGCTCCTACTCCAGGGCCTTTACACCAGCTGTTCTTGCTACTGGGCACACTCTTCCCACAGATAACACAGGCTACCTCCTTCATGTGCTTCAAGTATTTGCTCCAATGCCACTATTTCAGTGGAGCCTACTCACCTCCCAGGAACCTTATCCCCACACTGGTACTGCTTATCTCCCTTACTTGGCTTTGTTTTCTTTCCTTATCACCTGCTAACATAAGGTGCAGTCCTTTTACTTATATCTTTATTGTTTATTGTCTTTTTCTCCTACTAGAATATGAGCTCCATGAAGGCACATTTTTTTTTGCCTGTTTTATATACTGTCATATATGTATCAATATTTGTAATATGAACACATGGAGTGTCAGTGACTTACACAAATTCCCACAAGTTGGAAGTCAAGATTCGACCTCAAGGAGGCCGAACATGGTGACTCATGCCTGTAGTCCCAGCACTTTGGCAGGCTGAGGCAAGCAGATGACTTAAGGTCAGGAGTTCGAGACCAGCCTGGCCAACATGGTGAAACCCTGTCTCTACTAAAAATACAAAAATTAGCTAGGCCTACTGGTGCATGCCTGTAATCCCAGCTACTCAGGAGGCTAAGGCGAAGAATCGCTTGAACCTGAGAAGCGGAGCTTGCAGTGAACCAAGATGGCGCCATTGCACTCCAGCCTGGGTGACAGAGTAAGACTCTGTCTCAAAAAAAAAAAAAAAAATTTGACCTCAAGGAGTGTAATTTCAGAGCTCTCCACTGTAGTTACAGTGCAATCCCACATCTCTTCTTATCCTTTTAGGATTTATTCAAATGCCAACTTTCAAGAAGCTAATTTTGACTTTCAGAATTAGTCTTTATTCTCTACTTTCATGGCATCCTGTTTTTAATTCTCCTTATGCTACATGTCAGCTTATGCCTTTAAATATATCTATCTATTCTATTCATATATCCAGCTAAGTAGGTAAGTTCCTCGTGGACAGCTTTGATGTCTGATTTTTCTTTGGATATGCTATGTCAGGCACTGATTAGATCACTATTGGATGGATGAATTTATTTATCAATAGGTCAGTGAAAGACCTCTGAGACAGGAGAAAAATGTTAATTTATAATTCAGCAGTTTAACATTGGGCAAATATAAATGTTAATCAAATTTCCCAAACCAAGTAGTATTCAAATAAGCAACAGTTTTTAAGGGAATTGATCGATTGTTCTGATAATACAGGGGGCCACAGAAACTGCTTGAGAATGTGCTCCGATGAGCAATGCATCAGTGGTCAAAGGAACAGGGAAGCACTGAAATCATAAATCAAAGGCATTTCTAATTGCAAGAAAAACTAAGCTGGCTGCAACTCTGAGTAATAGGAATAAAACTAATAGAGACTGCTAATGGACCTAATCATAAACCATACAAATATTTTCCAATAAAACAGCTTAAAATTATGGAGAGGATTTTCCTCCCCATTCTTTCTTGTCATCTCCATTTTTATTAACTTTTTTCATTAATTATACCGAACAGACATAGATATTTCTTTTACTCCAAATGTGTTCTGAAAGTACCCAAATGTAATGGATCCCCATATATGGGCTACTTCAAATGCCAAGATTGATAGCAAGAGGTCTGACTTTGTGTAAACAAGCAATCGTTTGCTTTCTCATTTCAATGGTAATATTTTCCAATATAATGTTTCAAAGTCTATTTAGAAAACACACAAAATAGAAATAGACACTGAAAATTAAAATCAAATATACCGCTATACAACTTAGGTCTGCAAAAAAATATATACATGGCAGATAAAGATATTTTAAAGATTGTGGATAAAAGGTTAGTAAAACTTAACTTACCTAGCCATCTGCAGATGCTTTTTCCTAAGAATAATGAGGGTAACAAGCAACAGTCCAATTAAAAGTGTACTAAGGATGGCCAGCACGGAGATCACTACCACATTGGGATTCATCTCTGTAACTAAAGAGATAAGTCGTGCATTTTCATCATAGGTTCTGTTATAGGGAACCAAACAGAACCATTCATTGTTTTTCATTTAGTCTTAAGAGCAGTGAACTTACGACGATACCAATAAGAGTAACAATCATGTTCCCGAAGCCAACAATGACTTCTTCCTGGTCAACTGTAACTTAGCAAACTAGACTGATAAGTGGTATTCAGGTGTCTGAAAGAATTGAGTCCATTTCAAAGGCCTACAGGATATTCTTACACAGGGAAACTGAAGAATGAAGAATACCTGTGCCACAGTTCAAATTCATTTGAAAGCTAAAAATATAGAAGTCATTATCATGTATTATCATTTTCTAACATTTTTGCAAGCTTAGAGGATGGCAACCTCTTATTTTGTGCCCATGATTTTGAAGTCAGAAAGCACAATTGTATACTTTGCTTACCACTAATAATGTATATGAAAAAGACATTAGCAAACTACCATCTGCTGAAGCACTTAACACATTACCAGAAGCAGACATTCTGATGATCCATGGCCATATGTTTAGAGGTTTTCCATCTGCACAACTCAAGAGATTAAACCTATTAATGGGTTGTAGAGCCCTGAAGAACAGGGGTCATGTCCTTTTCATGTACTCTATATAAAGACTTGTCTCCTATGGCACTTACACATTGTCTACTTCTTCATACTACACGGAAGAACAGGATATCAAAGGCAAGAACATAAGTTAAATATTCTTATAAAACTCTTCAAAATGGGCCTGAGGACTCATACGATCTTTTGCATTGATCATAAAATCACAGAATGAGCAGGCGCATCTGATCCCTAAGGTTTTGGTTACTTATTACTTCCCATTTGGGCCAGCTTGGCTCCAGTTTATGAGTAGAGTGCT